TTTACAGTTCGAACCCTCCCAGTGGCTGATCAGATTTCACCCTCAGAAACCCTGTGGGGCATTTCTCTATCCTAAGCATGGCTATGAGCCAGACAACACAAAACAACACCACTGTGAATGTTAAAAGGGTTAATTTGTAATTGGAAACATTTAAAACCTATTGCAGTTCTATTTCTGCCTGTTTAATTTACCAAGTTTCAACAAGTGTACGTCACCTTGATCTCTCTTGCCAAATAGGATGTCCTGACTACACACTTCCCTGCTGATACCTGTGCCATTCCACAGAGGACTCTTCCCAAGGTAGAGGTGGGGTGAGGACCTACCGGATGGCTCCTACTGGATGGCTGAAATTGGTATTAAAATTTAGGTTTATTCTGAATCACTTTAATCCCCAAAGGCTGTTTCTCTCATTAAACTAAATTCAGGTTTCTGTATATGTCAACTTTATAATAGCAATAACCAAGACCCCTGTCCTCACACCACTGAGACTTGTTTCAATGAGCTGGTTGAGTGATATGGGGTATTTAGCATTCAAGCCTTTCGTAAAGTATGCCCTTTTGCTACCAGCTCCCAAATGTGCAAAAAGAGATCATTATCAGTGGGTTGGCTGGCGCCAGTAAAGAGGTTTGAACACCCTTAACAATCGGAAACAATGGTCACTCCTAGGAGGCATGACTTATCCAGGAATACTTAGCACAGAGCAGGTTATAGAACTGTCAGTACAGGGGGAGGGAGGGGAAAAAAAAAAAAAAAGGCCTGGAGCACACACCCTAACATAGGAACTTCTGGGTGAACCTAAATAGGGAGGGAGAGGGGCTTCCAGAAGGTGAACTTCAGAGCTTCAACTATGAAATCGACATGTTTGAGAAAGCTGCCTTCTCACCAAGGAAAGCAAGAGACCCAAACTCTCCTCCCTTGGGACCAGCAACCCCTGTCAGGCAACCTGAATCAACCCTGTACCAACATGGATACCTCTCTCTGCTGGCTTGACCAGGCTTAGTTCTCCCCCAAACCCCCAGCTGCCTCTGTGTATATCTCCTTGTAAGCCACTTCTCCAGCCCACCTGCCTGATTCCCTCTGGCTCTGATAATGCTGAAACTAACCATGGACTGTTTTCTCTTGGAACAGCTGAAAAACAAACTCTTTGCTGATTGCCGCCTGCTCAGAGAAGAACAGCAAACTAAGACTGTCTCTGGCAGTCACCTTTGGTAAATACCTCTGCAAACAAGCTTGTGGGGATCACACTGGGGAGCTCCCATCACCAGGCAGCCATACAAAGTGTGGCAAAGAGTGACAAGAACCCATTCCCCGTTTTATATAAAAGGAGAAACTACAGCCAAGGACTAACAGGGACCTGCCTTGGGTCACACAGTTACTTCGTGACCCAGCCAATAAAAAAACACCTTATTTTCTTGATAGGGCCTTCAGTGACCCCATCCTGTCTCCCCAAACCAAACATAATTCTAGAATCTCCAATGTGACTGATTAATTACTGTCAGTAGTAATAGGTAGTAATAATCATAACATTGAGAAGAAAAAAAATCTGGAAAATGTGGAAACATTTTTTCTCTTCTTCAGCTCAAAGCCAACTTCCTTGAGGTCAGCAGGGAGGCACAGCTAAAAAGTAAAGTAATTTAAGGTTCTTTAAAGCGGAGGAGAGAGGAGGGAAGGAAACTCGCTGCCTGCAGCAGCGGTACTCACCAGTGCTCCTGTCTCAGGTAATGGACTGAAGGAGGCACCCAGGTAGAGCACAGCGCCCTGGGTATATATAGCGAAGGTGTTGCGCAAAGAGGCCGGCGGCAGCTGCTGTCCTCACGCCCCTCGCACATTCCAGGACGGCCCGCCGCCGCCGCCGCCGCCGTCGCCACGGCACTGCCTACCTGCCGGCTTAATGAGCCCATCGTGGCCTCGCCTGCTGTGCGGCCTGCCGGGCCAGGGGAGAGCCTCAGACCATCCCCAGCCGCCTGAACGGCAGCAAACGTCCCTGCGCCCCACGCGCCCTGAACCCAGGTTGGCGCGCGCCCTCCCCACCCCCTTCCGGCTGCGGAGAGCCCAGCAAGCAAAGGGCTCACCGGGCTCCAGATCTGTCCCCTCTTTCTCCAGGTCTTTCCCCAAGAACCTGAACCTTCCACTCTAGTTCCTCTGAGGCTGAAGAGGCCAGGGACTTTAAGATAGAAGTCAATTGGAAACTCCTTGCCAAACAAAGGTAGGATTGTTTGACCTTATCAGTCTTGGGAAGTGCTTTCTGCACTGATAGGACTCCAAGTTAAGAGCCTTGGCCAGCTGAGTCTGCAGTGGCAAAGGGCTCTGTCTGACTAGCTGAGGAAGGAGCTGGGGCTTGGTCTCACCCTGAGCCACTCCCTCCCCATGCCCTTATTTCACTGTCCTGCCCAGCGCTGTGTGTGCCCCTCGTCTCTCCCTATCCTTTCCTCCATCCCATCAGTCCCAGAGAGGCCCCATCGTGATGCTTAGAATAGCAGCTTCCCTGTTAGGTGTCCAACACTGCAAGACAAAGCATTCAGTGTTCATAGTGAGGGACATCCACACACAAAAAGCCTTCCTTGGGGTTCAGAGAAGCTGGCTCCTTTTCCAGCTCAGGTTAGAGGGGTTAGGAGGCACCACGGTCTGACTGTAAAACCTATGTATGCCATTTCCCTCAATGGTGCTGCTGTCCTGGTTTTATAGCTGAGGCATTTAGCCAGCTTACTAGCCATCCAGCTGCTGTAAGGAAAAGTGGAAGCACCCCATTGGAACTAGGCTGTATTTCATTCCAAGGCCAAGAGCTCTATCCACTGCTCAGAGGGGAGAAGTCAGGAGTGCTGTTTCCAGGAACCCGCAGAGCCGGCTCTCTGCGGCTCACTGACTCTGATGTCCAGCTGCCTGGGGTGAATTCTCTGGTCTGCCTCTCGCTTTCCCTGCCTCTTTATTTTGTTCATGTGTAAAATGGAAATAATCTGTTGAGTAAAATGGCTCAAAATATGCAAAGCACACAGAACAGCAGCTGGTTTGTAGTAAGTGCAATATATATGTTCATCGTGGTTTTCACAGGATGTTGGGAGAAAAGCCGGGGAAGCCTTGATTAATCTGGAACCATGGAACTCAGCTCATCCATCAGCATCTCAAGAAAACTGTCCTTACCAACCCAAAGGCCTGTGGACCTGTGAGCTGGGCATTAGAAACCAAGTCAGGCGGGGTTACTGTGATGAGAGGGATGGTTTTGCTAGTGGATGCTAGACTGAAAAGCCAGCTCCTGGAGACCATGTCTCCTAGCACCTTTCCACAGAGTGGTTTCTAAAGCAGAGGCCAGGAATAGCGCAGGAATCCACCGACTCTGGGTGTTGATTGAGTGCTGCTCTGCCTCCAGCCCTGGGCATGAGGCAAGAGGAGCTACAGACATCACCAACATGGGGTCCCGGGAGCAAGCCTTAATTGGACATTCACTCTGAAGAGCCTCCCCCACTGACTGTGAACATGAATGTGAATGTGGGGCACAGACCTAATTGCCATCACATGCCTTCACATCACTCTCTAGCAGCTAATGTTGAGTGACCCAAATTTCACAAAGCTTGGAAAGAGAAAGATCCTCTTCCTTTTATGTTTCTATTGAAAAGGCAAAACAGGGGTTCAGCCCTGGAGCCTTTTTTATTAGGTATGTGGATCTTGGAAATAGATCTAGGATGGTATCTTTGTTTCTGGTTTTTGGATTGTATCTGAAGGGCTGATAATGTTCTTGGTTGTGGTGCTTTGCTTAGTGATAGATCCTTGAGCTATTAACTGAATTATAAAACTCAAACCAAACTCCCTGCCATTGAGTCGATTCTGACTCATAGCAACCCCACTGGGTTTCCAAGGCAGAAAGTAGATTGCCCCATCTTCCTTCTGCAGAACATCTGGTGGGTTTGGACCACCAACCTTCTGGTTAGCAGTCAAATGCCTTAATTCACTGTGCCAACAGAGCTCCTTATAATTGAATTATACTCCCCTGCCCCACCCCAATATGTATTGTGGATATATTCTATTTGGAAATATAATTCTTTGTTAAGTTATTAATAAGGACATCCTTGGATGGTGTGTCATAAACGTAATCACTGTGGAGCGATATAGAGTAGGGCAGACACAGTGACAAGCAGTGACATAGGGGAAGAGACTATCTGAAGAAGACAGAGGCAAGTGAATCTGCAAGTCCAAGAACTCCAAGAATTGTGACCTAGAGCCACATGCTGAATTCGGTCTTCCAACATCCTGCCCCTGGTGAGGCAATGCTAAACCAAAAGGGTTAGTGGTTTTAACCTACCCAACAGCTCCTCAGGAGAAAAACCTGGCCATCTTCTCCCTTAAAGATTATAGCCTAGAAAACCCTATGGGACAGTTTTACTGTCACATGGGTCACAAAGAGTCAACACTTGACTCAGTGGCATCTAACAATAGCAACAAACCTCCTGAACTGTGAGAACATAAATTTCCCTTCCCTAAAGCTGCCCATTTGTGGTATTTCTGTTACAAAGCACTAGGTAACTAAGATGGGGTGGGTGTATGGGGAAGAGGGTAGACTCTGAATTTGAATACCGGCCCCACCACTTTCTGGCTTTGTCTCATGTCATATGATCAGAGGTGACACATATATTGCTTTCTCTGGGCCAAACACGGTTGTAATCTTTTTGCAAATCGACTCATTTAATCCTCAAGCAATCCTGAGGTAACTTTATTATTTGCATTTTATTGATGAGCGGACTGAGGCACAGAGAAGTTAAATATCTTGCCCAAGGTCACAGAGTGAATAGGCAGAGCCAGGATTTAAACTCGAGCAGTTTAAACCAGAGGCTCCAGCGTGTATGCTTTTACTTCAAACCTAGGCTGTCTCTATAATGTCACCAACTGAGAGTTAAGAGTTTCCTAGAGAGTCTGAGTGAACCTGGAAGACATTATGCTGAGTGAACTAAGTCAATCACAGAAGGACACATACAGTATTAGTTCCTTGTTGTGGAGGATCAAGGAAAGGTTTAGTTTATATATGGAGGGAAATTTTCTTTGTTGGTTGCCAGGGGTGGGAGGGGAGAGGAGGGAGCACTGCAAATAAATAAATAGTGCATTGACACATGTCACTTTTGTTTTGTGTATTTCACTGCACATAAATTATATTTCAATAAAATGCATTAAAAAAAGGTTTCTAGAGATAAATTCTCTAGATCAAGCTTAGCCTTGTAAATGTCACTAAGATGTTTAACCAACTTTGTAAAAAACTTTAAAAAACAAAAAGAAAACCCACTGTCGTTGAGTCAATTCCAACTCATAGCAACGGTATAGGACAGAGTAAAACTAACACAGAGGGTTTCCAGTGCAGCTGCTGCAGAGTGCTCCATCTTTTTCCCACAGAGCAGTTGGTGGGTTCGAACCACTGACCTTTTGGTTAGTAGGCAAATGCCTTAACAGAAGAGGCACATACTTTCTAGCTGAGAGCAAGCTGATGAACTGTGATTACTTCACAAAACCCAGTGACTAACTCATCATTCCTTAAGTGCCTCAGAGCTGCTTTTTTCCATTCTACTAGAGGCTCAGACAGATAAATTTCAGAAAATGGAAAAAATTTTCTAGTGTGTACACGAGTGTGTATTTTTTTTTTTTTTAATTTTTCTGCTTTTTCCATTGCTGTATAACATTATAAGGGAGGTGAGCCAGAGGCATTTTCTGGGTCATCATGGAACCCGTAACTGGCAGTAAACACCCTTGCTTTATGGTCATTTTTATAATCATCTCTATCATTTTGCTATTTCTAATCTGTCCTGGATGGTAGGTAAGCTCATTCATTTAACCACTCAACCGTCATTCAAATTGCATGTAAAGCAGGAATGCACAGGAAAGAAAGACACAGGGAAAAGGAAACCACAGGGAGGAAGTGGGAAGAGAGCTGTTACATCATGAGGACTGCGATGAATGTCGAAACAAAGTGTGTATGAACTGTATGGAAAATAATTTGATCTGTAAACCAAATCACCCAATCACAATAAAAAGAAAAAATTAATTGGCAGCTCTGGTGGCATAGTGTCTAAGGCATTTGACAGCTAACCAGAAGGCTGGCTGTGCAAACCTACCAGCCACTTCTTGGAAGGAAGATTGGGTCATCTACTTCCGAAGTGATACTGCCTTGGAAACCCAAGGAGGAGGGGTCGCTGTGAGTCATATCTGACTCAATGGCGATGAGTTTGGTTTTGGTTTTTGGTCATGGAAAGCAAGAGTAAGTAAACCTGAAAAGATCTGATGGATCTGCTTAGGAGCATGCCTTCTTCTTAGACTTTACATCTACTTGGGGAATCAGAAAACGTTTTTATATTCCATAGGTCCTAAAATAGTTGAGGCAAACGGTGTTTGGCAAACTTGATACTTGACAAGGACATAGGATACTAGAAATAAAACTAAAAGCTGTTGCCACATACCCCCTGGGGGTAACCAGCATGGACCAGCCTCACCATCACCCAGGCCTCATCATCTCTTCAGCATGGAGAAAGATACCTGCAGGTATCAGAAGGGAACTGAGGCTCTTGTCTGCACAATCAGTGAGTAACTCCATTCCTTATCTCCTCAGAGCAGCCAAGGTGGCCTGCCTCCTACATGCTTTTACCTCTTCCCTCACACACAGTCCATTGTCACCAATGGCTTCCCACCTCCTCTGAGAACAAGCTCCACACCTCTTCCCTAGTTTGTATGTTCTGAGTCCTGCCTTACCCCCTAATGCTGCTTCCTCGTCCTCCCTCCCCTGATTCATACTCTGTCCACGCTGACCTTTTTGCTTCTAACAGTCATTCTCACCCCAAGACCTTTGCTCCTGTCATCCTCTCTGCTTCAAACATTCATTTATTCCCCCTCAAGATTTCACATGGCCCTGCCTCCTCATTCAGTCCCAAGA